TTCTCGCCGTCGTTCACCACAACGCGGAAGCCGTCTTCTCCGCACTTTTCACGTCCAACTTTGCCAGCGATGTACAGCGGAATGAAAGAGAAGAGGAGGAGGTTGAAGGGAAAGGAAAGAGGAAGGAAGATGATATGAGGTTGAGGGACTATCACAGGTGAAAATGAAGATAGTTTTCTCGAAGAGCAAGAGGGTGATGGATCCTTCTGCTTCTACTCCGCGATGATAATTATTGTTCCTTCTCGTACCAACAGCTAGAACTAAAACGGAACACATCAATGGACGAGCTCAAATAGAACGATTGATGCTCATCTTCATTCCACGACCTACGACCAACAGTGATATTAGAACATTTCGCTTTTCTCTCTCATAATGCAATGTCGTTGAAAGCTTGCGGAGAGATGTCGTTGAAGGCTTAGCACACATCATCCTCGTAGACACACTCGGGCGGCATCTCTTTGTCTAGGACCTTATGGAAAATCGCGGCGAGCATCTTTTGTTCGTTGTTCTTTGGCGAAGAAGAAAAAGCTCTTCTGAGGGAAGGAGAACAAGTGCCAGAGCCAGAAAAGGTTTGATTGATTTCAGTTTGTTCAACTGGAAAATATCTGGGTGTGTATAATTTCTCGAAAATTTTTTCTTGAAAAATCTCGAAAGTTAGTATTGCCATTCGTCACTACATAGGTTTCTCTTGTAGAAATTGTGTATCTGTGTGTAACATAGGTTTCTCTTGTAGAAATTCTGTATCATCTGTGTGCACAACTAGGCACGTGTTGCCAACAAGTCTCTTCGTGGACGCGTTGAACATGTTACATAACATTGATAAACCTGAGGAAGAGGACCCAAAAATGATTTCCGCACTGGGCAATTGCAATTTGTCTGTGGAGTTCTTTACTATGCGCATCTTTATTGTAGTTAAGTGTACAAGGAGAATTCTTCATCTTAGATGCTTTGACTTTGAGCTTGAGTGTACAAGGGTGAAAAATTTGTAAGACATCTTATTCTTATTCATTGATCTTATTAGACCATTAGTTCGTGTACAAGGAAAAATTAGTATTAGACTCCTTGGCCCGGCCGCAAGTGAGATAAAAAAATTGTGTAAGTACAAGACGACGAGTATATCATATCTACGTGAGGATATCCGATATGGTGTCAGGATATGAAGGCAGGGCTGATGCCTCTTTTTGTTTTTATATAACCCCTCGGCAGATGAAGTTGTGCAAAAATCAAATTGGTGGCCGCTTGCGTTGACCCCTGTCTGTCCTTTGCCTTTACAACCAGGCTAAAGTTAGACCCTTGATCACGCCTACCACATATGTGACAGATCTTCGACAAATTTCATCGTTCTCGGCAGGACCTCCCAGCTTGATATTACGACGTTCAGGAATACATGGAACAAGAACAAAAGCTTCCCCTTTTATTCGACATTCGTATTCGTTTAAGCTGTACCTGTGTAAGTGTAGTGTACTAAGAGGTAATATAGAAGAGGTTGATTGTGAAAGAATCTGACTCTTTGTGCGGGGGAGTGGAAACTTTGAAAAAAAAAGCGTGCTTGGTTTGGTTTGATTTTTTTGACTTTGGGTGAATACAGTATGAAGGTAAAAAAAATGTAAATCATCGACGTGAATACCTGTAAAGTTGGAAGGGTGTTCGCCCGTCGTTACCGCTCCTCTTTATGATCTTCCAGTTAGGCCTGGCCGTTGCCTACTGGGTCTCAGTCAGTGACCGGTGAGGCATGCCTAAATCATTCAGGCCTTCGTCGATCCTACCAAGATTAGAATGTTTATCCTGCAACAGCGTCGCACGAGAAGTTTGAACTTCCCTTTTTTCATGTACTCTCTCAGTAAATACTGCCAGCAGTACAACACAATAAGCAGGGAACCACATCAATGCTTTCTCGTCCATTATAATGGCGCTAAGTCAGCTAAGAACTGCACAAAAACGGCCACTATTGTCGCCTCCTCGTCCTGGAAGTGCTCCGCTTAGCGGCTTTTGCAACTTGCTTCCTCTTGGTTTTTCTGTCTTTTGGTTTCGTTTCATGTGATTCCCCGCGCCCCTCCAGAGTCCACCGCGCCAGCCTGCAAATGTGTGCTGGGGGATTCTGGAGGGGCGCGGGGATTTGGAGGGCGCCCGAGGTTCTTGGCTCGCAATTGGGTGAGGGTTTTCCAGAAGGGAGCGCAGTAGGCGGCGAGTGTTCTGCGGATTCGTATCATGCCCGAGAAGATTAAACTTTGTCCGGATTTCTGCAGTCCTTAGCTGAATTTTCTCCAATATAAGTACTTTGATCGTGCTAATATTCAATCACATTCCTGGAGGATTGTACTCACTTCCCTGGTAAAGGCAACTGATATCGTTCGCCTGAGGATCTTTCATGATCTTGCCAATACGTAGCTACACATGCCCAGAAAGCGGGCCCATCAAGGGCCCGCTGCGCCGGGCATAGGTTAACAACTAGACAGATTGACTACTAAGAGACAGAAAGACAAACGAAAAAAGTCGCCAAGTCTGCTCGCCAAGGCTGGGAAGGTGGCCCCCACTGTGTCAAGGAAGGGAAGGCTGGGGAGGTGACATCCTCAACGGCTTCGACTTTCAAGCACGGCGATGGATCTCTTTGGCCTTCTCATGGATATGATGACGCTCACCAGGGTCCACCCTTCACTCAGACACGCATTTGCTTACGGCTATCACTCTCACAGGCATCGACATCCCCAACGGCTTCGACTTTCACGGGCAGAGATGTATATCTTTGGCCTTCTCATGGATATCATGACGCTCACCAGGGTCCACCCTTCAGGCAGCCACGCAAGTCCTCACGGCTATCATTCTCACAGACATCGACATCCTCAACGGCTTCGACTTTCACGCGCAGAGATGTATATCTTTGCCCTTCTCATGGATATGATGACGCTCACCAGGGTCCACCCTTCAGACATGCAAGTCCTCGCGGCTATGTATCGCTCAGTCTCACAGACATCGACATCCCCAGCGGCTTCGACTTTTCTCTCACGCGCAGAGATGTATATCTCTGGCCTTCTCATGGATATGATGACGCTCGAAAGGGTCCACCCTTCAGACATGCAAGTCACAGCTATCATTCTCACAGGCATCGACATCCTCAACGGCTTCGACCTTCACGCGCAGAGGTGTATATATTTGGCCTTGCTTCTCATGGATATAATGACGCTCACCAGGGTCCACCCTTCAGACATGCAAGTCCTCACGGCTATCATTCTCACAGTCATCGGCATCCTCAACGGCTTCGACCTTCACACACAGCGACGGAGATCCTTGGCCTTCTCATGGATATGATGACGCTCACCAGGGTCCACCCTCCAGACACGCGAGTCCTCGCGGCTATCGTTCCCACTTTTGTGCTGGTTAACCATCTCCAAGGGCTGCCGCGCGCTCCACTCCTGTGGTCGATTGCTGTGTGCGGAAGGTAGTCGCGGAAGGGGAGCGAGCTAACTTCTTCACTCACAAAAACTTCAGGGAGGTCGTTACGTTTTCTCTGTATTTGAATGACCTCCCTGAAGTTTTTGAAAAAAAATAAAGGCGCTGGGCGATAAATAACAAGGGTAGCGGCTGGAAGTTCGTGGGGGCGATCCGCTAGGGGTGGGCGCGTAGTGTCCTGCTGCAGATGTGGCTGGGTACGTGAGTAGCCTACAAACTAACAGCCGCGAGCGCGTTAACATGTTCGCGGTGCCTTTGAACTCGTAGCACTAGCAGCGCAAGGGCTTTAGAGAGCCTCGCGAGTCCTTGCGAATCCCTTCAGGAGGGGTCTAATATTAGCCAAGGGCTATAACAGATTTCCCTTAAGGCCCTTCCTTAAGGAAGATTTTCCCTCTTAAGGAAAGTCATAGTAACTTTTTGTAATAGGAATCCTTTAAGGAGAACCGTCCTCCTTAAGGAAGCCACTTAAAGGAGTCCCTTAAGGATTTCACAAACCATCGCTAACCCCATAAATACAAATATGATATTGACACTCCTTCTACTTACTCAATTAAGTAAAAACTGTGGATCATAAGTGTAATCCAATCGAGCAAGTTTTTGAAGTCCTCCGAGTACAGGTCTTGATCTGCAGCAGCCGCCAGCAAAACCGCAAGTTCTTTCTTAGAGATAGATTCGTCAGGTCGCAGTCGCTCATCGGCGTCGCTTTTCATCCAATGCGTCATGATCTTGCGCACCTCGCTTTGCACATCACGCGTGACACTTGGTCCCCTCTCTGCCGTTTCCGGATCAAATATTTTCTTCAATTGTTCTGCTACGTCTGTCCCGCTGCTACGCGTCAAGAGCTTCCTCCACTTGTCGGCAAAGCCGTCAAACTCCTGCTGACGATTCTTAGAAATTTGATGCCTCCACTGGTGCGTGGTGGAAGTTGATGTCATTATATCCTCATTACAACCGACATCTTTCTATGTTCTATTCCTTGAGATGGAAGAAGGGCACTTCCTCAAAAGGTCATAGACACTTTTCTCAAATTAATTTATTGTGATTGTCGATCATAAAAAGCCACATCTCCTCAAGGGCCACGAGGTAGCGTTCGACATGTTTCAAGCCCGGAGACTCGGCGGACAGATCTCGCTCTATGCCTTCCTTTGTCATGATCGTACAATCCTCCACATTTGATGTGCGATCACATAGTGGAATGTGAGCCTGCTTCTCCGCCACCAAATAGGTCATGAACTGGCGCACGCTTTTCTGGAGCCAGGGTTCATACTCTTCAGTTCCTATCTTCGGTTCTTGGTCCACAGCGGGAAGCTCCTGAACACCGTGCTCTGCAAGGGTCTTGCCAATTGCTTCTTTGAGGTTGCGGAACTTGATTGATTCTTCTTGGACAGACTCTTTATTAGAAATCTGCAGCTTCCATGTGAATGCACTAGACATTATGATGGTATTATACCCACTCCCACTCTTAATATCTACGACTACTTCCTCGTTTATGAAACGGGACTAGACATTAAGTAAAAGTTGTTATCTTATCCAACAGCGTTCTCTCAATGACATTTCTTCCCTTCAGCTACCGACATCTCGTCAAGACAAATTCCTGTCCCTTACCCTATCTTCTTGTAAGAATGTTGACCATAATGAACCGGCGCAAAGATTCGAGGCAGAGTTTGATATCATCCAAAGTGCCGCGAAGAGTAACACGATGTGGCTCACCCTGGTTGATGTACACCTCGAATAAGCCAATCTCCTTTTCCAGCTGCGGACTTAGATTCAAAGCGTATTTCTGCGTGTTCACCAAATAGTGCATGACTCCAGCCAAGCTTCTCTCGAGCCATTCTTCTCGCATATTTTGCTCTACGCCCATGCCTGGTGCTTTGCCGACCGGGTCCGGGTCCGGCTTCGGAGTAAACTCTTCATATAAGTTAACGAACTCTGTGATGCGCTCGTCCCACTCATACAGGCTATAGAGCTCCGCAACTTGATTAGAAATCTACTACAGCCCTGCTTTTCAGAACTACGCAATGGAAGTAGTAGACACTTCCTGAAAAATACATAGAAACACTTGCCCCATCCCCAGCATCGTCTCTCGTATAGTCGAGGACATTTTCTCAATTATAGCCTCCAATTTCTTAAGGTTAAGCAACAGCAGCACGCCCTCAATACATATTATCCCCTCTGACGCCATCCTCCACTGGCATTTTCTTAAACTAAATATGCCACAGTATGTTATTAACATTTATAGTAGTAAGCAAGAATCATGATCGACGAACGAAATATCTCAAGGACGAGAAGACAAACAAGAGGGGAGGGGAGTCATAATCCTAAAACAATTAATTAAGATAACGGCAAAAAAGGGTACCACAATGAATTTTAAATATAACTTCCCAACCGACCACTACATCTTCTCGATGCAGCACAGGTCTTCTTACTGAAGAGTCTTTAGTAAATTTTGTTTAGTATCCTGTTGCCGCTCATAAGCTTCTGGTCCAGCATAAAGAGGCTCTCATCGACAACATCGAACAGAGTCCGATCCAGAGACGGCTCCGAGGACAGATCCTCTGCTATCCCTTCCAGCCGGTTCTCTGTTAGAAAGAGCAGAAAGCTGAAGCAATTCACTTTCAGCCAGCAACTTCAAGAGAGAAGACGTTACGCACGAAAGCGAAAGCCTAACCAAGTCGCTCGGTGTTCCGCATTGATTCCCTGAATGGAATCGGCTGGCTCTTCCTTCTTGGTCTGTTGGTTCTCCGCTTGTGCTCGTCTTTCTCCTTCTGAATGTTCTCGCTGTATGATGTGAATCCGATAAAGCCCAAGGCCCTGAGTCTTCTGATGATGATCATAGCGACCGAGATCCTTATGCCAATAAGAATCCCCTCAAGATGACGCACGACGATGGTTATGGATGGCCATTCAGTACAGAACAGCCATAAGGATACGAACAACATGAAGACGCACGCTATTTAGGTCGATGCAGGCGCTACTCGGTAACACCACCACCACAACAACAAGGACAAGCCTGCCAGGGGCATAATATCTGGAAGGCTTCGGCCCATTAAAAAGGAGCGCGTAGAAATGGAGCACTTCAGCCTACAACTTATGGCAAGCAAGAGGGAGGGCTGGAAGCTGTGGCGCAAGAATCGAAGGTAGAAGGCCTTGGCGATGAATCAACAGCAAAGAGAGACAGCCCAAGGGCTGAGGAGGTGCGGCACCCTCAGCAGACAAAGAGCAAGCCCAGGGGGGCGAAGCTGCAAGAGCAAAAACAAAGCCCAAGGCCGTCTGGGCAAAACCCTCTGGCCGGGGAAGACGCGCCTGGTGGAGTTTGTTTCTCCCGGTGGAATCGGCACTGGCGACAAAGTCCATCCGAGAACCCTCGAGCAGAGACGTGGAACAAACACAAGCGGAACAGCTGCAAGGCAAGCCCCCGACAGTGACAGACAGAAAAGCAAAAGAAACCACGCCAGAACAGCCACAAGCGAAGCGCGGACAGTGTAGACCTAAGGGGCCTAGCTAAGGACACGAAGAAGCGCAAAACGCACAAGGGCGGGGACGCTCCGAAGAAAATCAGCAAGATCACCCATGGGCCCTGTAGTGAACAGACGCGCGGTAGGTCAAAGCCTGAGAAGAGGCTCAACCACGTCGACGCAAACGCACACGATTCAGCCACAGCTTCAGAGCGAAGACCTGCTCCCATATCGAGAAAAGAAGCCACGCACCAGGGGGGGCGTGGGGCAAACCTTTGGGAAGAAGCTGATCGAAAGCAAAGAGGTTGCGGGGCTTGTGCTGTACGTAGATGCTGAGCGTTGGCGTGAGAGAGATCCACTGGCAGACCAGTCGCTTCTTCAGAGAAAGCGCCCACCGCGCGCGCACCCACGTGATTGATTTGTGGGCGGCAGCGCTGTGGGCGACGGAGGTCGCGGCTGGTGGCAGATGGTTCCACGCAGAACCTCACGAGTGGCGAAATCTTTTCACCGACGCCGAGCACACTCAGTGGGCGCGAGGCGTCACATTTTTCACGCGGCTCAGCATGGCTGAGAAATGGACCGCGCTGACGTGGCGCATGCACTTACCAAGGCAGACCTTCCCGAGCCGGAACGGGTCAGACTTCCAGCGGAATCCCTAGAAGGTGACGGAGACCCTGCGGAAGTAGCTACAGAGGCTCTCTATAGTTTTAAGCAATCGCCGCACGCTTGGAACAAGCTAGGCAGCCGATAAGAAATTTCGCGAATGGGGGGGACGACATCACGTAGAGAAGGCGGCGCCTACTATCACACGGAGCGGACAGACTCAAAAAGCAAAGCTAGCGCGATGCTGGTGGGTTATGTGGAAGCGGATGACATCATAGCCACAGCAATAAAGAAGCCGAGCAAGGCAAGCGACGGACAAAACTGCCAAGGACTATGCGAGCCGGGTCAGCGTCAGGAAGGAGCTCGGCTCGGCGCCAGCCTATGGCGGTATCAGTCGAGTGTCGCAGCGAGACACGCGAAAAACACACGCCTGATTTTGTAGAGATCAGCGTGGACATCCACTACGAAACTACCAAAAGCGGCGACAGGCGCTTGGGGGCGATAGACTAACTCCCAAGGTGAGAGCAAAGCCACAAACATTGCGAAAAAGTGGAACGCGTTCGACTGTGCCGAGAACGAAGTATACCCCATCGCGCCCGAGGCATCAGACCAATGGCATCAATTGGCCAAGGAAGCCAAGGAGAAGGCAAGGCCCAGGGATGAGATTGCACTTGCGGGCTTTTCTGCTATTCTTTCACACCGATAAGAGCGACAGCGAAGCCGCTGTGAGCTCAGAGTCTGACAAGACGAAGCCGAAGAACAGCCAGAAGACAAGACGGGGAAAAGGGTGAAGAANGAGCTGGAGAAGTAAGTGTAAGGACAGCGGTTCTATCTTAATCTTCTAGTAGCAGAAAATATTGAAATTGAGTATTGCGAACCCAAGAAAGTCATCGAGAACTTTGTGTCAGCAACAACAACAAGAAGAAGAACTTTGTCACATAATAATCGAAGAGCGTCGCGAGCATGAGCGGAAGCGTCTGGCCTTTTCTGCAACAACCCCCCGAGAGACGTGATTAAGGCTTTTCTGCTTGCGACTGATCTTAGAAGCAAGAGGCATGTGTCTGTCATCATATGATTCAGGAAGAAAACTTCTAATACATAGAAGTAACTGGTGAAGTGCTCGTTGCCCAGGCGTCGTGCTTGGAAGCCCTACAAAACCTACCTAAAAAGTTTGAAATGCTAGTCGTAAGAGATGGCGTTTTTTGGCGGCTTCGGCCTCGCAGTGTGCCCTCTAAATTTTCGCCCGTCATGGTCATTTCGCAACTGGGTAACTTCGTGTCTTTATCCTCGCCCGACAGCCGATCGAGCGGTGCTCGATTGATCATCTTGTGGTTCTAGTAGTGTCCGTGCTAGTAGTTGAGGTTGTGGTTATACTTGTGTCCCTAGTAACTTCGATCTTTGCTCTTGAAGGTATCATACTAGAGGCGATGACGCTACGGCTACTAGCTCTTGATGAAAAGTATCATTCACGAGCCTAGCTCCTGGGCTGTCAATAATCATTACAGAAGGAGGAAAGATTCTGAATCAACATAAAAGAAAGTGTCCATCTGGTGAGTGGGGTGCTTCATGCAAGACGGCTCTTTGAGATAAATCACTCTCCTCTCTCGCTTGTCTTCTGTCTACACAGTCTGTGCCGCATTTTTGTTCTCGCAGACTACTTGGGGTCAGGTTAGGTGTTGCTCTACCAGGTAGGTTCACTAGCAAGCTACTTGAAAAAAAAACTTTGCTATAATTGAAGATGAAGAACACTGGCGCTTGCCTGTCAGCTGTTATTATGACGATGACCTCCCAGAATAAAAAAAAAGGACACCTTCTACTTGGTCGTCTGCTCGCAATGAAGTGCGTCGCTCTTGTCATGTATTGAATATGTTGTGTGAGGATAGACCCTCAAATCTTCTCCACCGACTCCAAGTCACCTTTATCTTCTATATGCGTTTCGTTTTAAGAAAGCAAACAGCACTTGACAAACATGAAAGCGGCTTCCTGCTTCCACCATTCTACCCCTCGTCCACGCAAGCAGCTTCCTGCTTCCACCTTTCTCCACGTCCACTCCTACCTAGAGGACCCAGAAATATCAAAACGCTTGCTGCTTGTGCTTGTGCTTCCACCTTTCTCCACATCCACCTCCACTCCTACCTAAACCAAGAAATATCAAATAAATCGCTTTTCTCCAGTCTCCACTCTTATACTGTCAATTAAAGTGCGGTTGAAACGCTTAACCCGGTGGCCAGGTGAGTTGGCGTCCACCCAAAACGTGCAGATGGAGATGGTAGACAGTCTGACCACCTTTCTCGCCGTCGTTCACCACAACGCGGAAGCCGTCTTCTCCGCACTTTTCACGTCCAACTTTGCCAGCGATGTACAGGGGAATGAAAGAGGAGAGAAGTCGGTTCAAGCCAGGGGTGGAAGGAAAGAGAAGAGGAGGTTCCGGTTAAAGGACTATGACAGGTGAAAATGATAGTTTATTTCTCGAATAGCAAGAGGGTGATGGATCCTTCTGCTTCTACTCCGCGATGATAATTATTGTTCTCGTACCAACAGCAACAGCTAGAACTAAAACGGAACACATCAATGGACGAGCTCAAATAGAACGATTGATGCTCATCTTCATTTTTCCACGACCTACGACCAACAGTGATATTAGAACACTTCGCTTTTCTTTCTCATAATGCAATGTCCCAAGTGAGTCGGCGCTTGCGGAGAGATGTCGTTGAAGGTTTAGCACACATCATCCTCGTAGACACACTTGGAGGGCATCTCCTTTTCTAGGATCTTATCGAAAATCGTGGCGAGCATCTTTTGTTCGCTGTTCTTTGCCTTGGCGAGGAAGAAAAAGTTCTTCTGAGGAAAGGAGAACAAGTGCCAGAGCCAGAAAAGGTTTGATTGATTTCAGTTTGTTTAGCTTGAAGTTGAAAAATATCTGGGTGTATATAATTTCTCGAAAGTTTCTTCTTGAAAAATCTCGAAAGTATTGCCATTCGTCACTACATAGGTTTCTCTTGTAGAAATTGCGTATCTGTGTGTAACAAAGGTGTCTCTTGTAGAAATTCTGTATCATCTGTGTGTACAACTAGGCACGTGTTGCCAACAAGTCTCTTCGTGGACGAAGTGAACATGTTAGATTAACAAACCTGAGGAAGAGGACCCAAAAATGATTTATTTCGCACTAAGCAATTACAATTTGTCTGTGGAGTTCTTTACTGACTACGAGCATCATCTAATATATTGATAAGTGTACAAGGATAATTCTTCATCTTAGATGCTCTGATTTTGAGCTTGAGTGTACAAGGAAGTTTTACAGCTTCAAAATTTTCGGACAGTGTACAAGGGTCAAAAATTTGTAAGAAAGACATCTTAAATTGATCTTATTAGACCATTAGTTCGTGTACAAGGACAAATTTGTATTAGACGCTTTGGCCCGCAAGTGAGATAAAAATGTGCACAAGCACAAGACGAGTATATCATATCTACAGCTTAGAGACTTGAGCATGATTATCATGATAATTTGGTCCTGACGAATCATTCGCATTCCTGGTCGCACATTCTTACACCATGAGCAAGGATAGATGCAAACGAATACAAAAAAAAACTTGGTATGTGAAATGCTTCTGGAGAGCTTGTCCTACCTACTTCATAAATTACTTTTGAGTCTTCATGGTTGGTTAAATTTATTCATAGGTACTGGTTTCGATACAGATTCTAACAGTCAGAGGTAGTTTTGAAACCGCATGTCGGTCATAGAAATAGTTGAGTATATCATTCCTTCGTTGTTAGGAGAGGGCTAAATTCCTGAAAAAATACACATCGACTTCGTCATTAGACACAAATTCTGGGTATATCATGATAGACTTTGTGATTCACACGATCATAAGTAGTCTCTTTATCACCATGCACCGTTTTCCAACATTCAAGATGCTCTTGAAAGAATAATCGACAGTACCTGTTGGCGTTGGGTAAATGAAGTACGTCTGATGTGTTGCCACGAGGTGATCATCATGTTGAGTCACGTCCTGTGTCGTGTCATACTAGAAGAACTACAAAATTATGAAAATCAAAATTCATAAAGAGTGCTTTGTTCTTCATGTTTATCATGCATTTGGAACTACGGATCAAGTACCTTGCTCTTCATTCAGTGGGTGCTCATTGTTTCTTCTTCACGTCGTTTACCACATGCGTGACAGATTTTCGCCAAACTTCATCGTTCTCGGCAGGACCTCGCCCCAGCTTGAAATTAGGACGCTCAGGAATACATAGAACAAGCTTGCGCTTCTATTCGACATTCGTCTTCGTTTAAGTTGTGCCTGTGTAAGTGTAGTGTTGAGATAAAACTAAGTTGTATAGAAGAGTTTGAATATGAAAGAGTCTGAGTCGTTATTCGAGGAATTCGAATTGGGAAATTTGAAAAAAAAAAGCGTGCTTGGTTTGATGGTGTCAATTTTTTTTGACTTTGGGTGTGTATGAAGCTAAAGATATAAATCATCGACGTCAATACCTATAACTGTAAAGGTGGAAGGGTGTTCGCTCGTCGTGCCCGCTCCTCTTTATGATCTTCGAGTTAGGCCTGGCTGTTGCCTACGGGATCTCAGTCAGTAAATCATTCAGACCTGCGTCGATCCGACCAAGATTAGAATGTTTATCCTGCAACAGCATCGCACGAGAAGTTTGAATTGTCCTTTTATCATGTACTTTCTCAGTAAATGCCGTTCAGCAGTACAACATAATACGCAGGGAATCATATCAATGCTTTCTCGTCCATTAATATAAATATTTTGACCGTACTAATATTCAATCACATTCGCAATTCCTGGAAGATTGTACTCACTTCCCTGGTAAAAGCAACTGATATCGTTCACCTGAGGATCTTTCATGATCTTATCCATACGTATCTATAAATATGAAATGACATTGACACTCCTTCTACTTACTTAATTGAGTAAAAACTGTGGATCATAAGTGTAATCGAATCGAGCAATTCTTCGACGTCGTTCGACGAGTACAGGTCTTGAGCTGCAACAGCCGCCAGCAAGTACGCAAGTTTTTCCTTAGTAGATTCGTCAGGTCGCAGTCGCTCATCGACGTCGCTTTTCATCCAACGTTCCATGATCGTGCGTACCTCGCTTTGCACATCACGCGTGACACTTGGTCCCCTCTCTGCCGTTTCCGGCTGATATATTTGCCTCAATTTGCCTGCTACGTCTGTCCCGCTGCTACGCGTCAAGA